ATTTGCAGTGATCATGAGTGCTATGAATGTGAATGCAGAGGAATGAGAAAAGGCACCCCAGAATTAGAAAGTAAGCAAAAGCCTTACAACATTACATCCAGTAAACTTCAAACTGTGCTGTTGTCTATTTTTGCTGCTTATATACCATCCAAATTACCTTCAGAGCAACCCCTGTTCTTTGTGCCTCAGGCTTGATGGCTCAGACATACACCACTGAAGTCTTTCCATTCCCCCCAGACTATTTAGCACAGCTGAACAAATAATTAATAATGAATTTGAATTCATAATGAAATATTGCTTATTTTTCTCCTTATGTTTGGAATTAGGCTGATTATTTTTGCTCACCCATCATGATGTTCTCAAATCCCTTGCATATTTGAAGATATATATACACCATATAGGTGGAGGTAGTATCCATGTGATACAGTAAATTCTTTTACTCTTGTGATAAATTGTGCACATAAAACATATCACATACTAGTGGCAACATCACATTCACACTAAGACATCTTTCCTAGGGCTTGTATAAACAACTTAGAAATTCACTTTCCATGAACATTTTTGCCAGCCAAATTTAATGATTCACATATTCACAGAAATAAATATGAGAAAGACATGAAATTTGCGAAAGAGAATTAATTTTAAAATGTAAACAAATTTGCAAAAATGTTTTTGCATTATTACCACCTCTACTAATTTGCAGTGATATCTATCTTGTGTATTTATACGCACCAAAATTGCAGTGTGTAGGTACCAATGCAATCAGCCAATACACCTATAAATGAGTAATGATTACTACAAGAATTTTTTTCAAAGAATAATTCTAAATTCTACCAGTTGTCAGCCTACAGTGCAACATACCAGAAATAGGGCTATAGCAATATAGCCACTCTTCCAAATGATCCTCTAGGAAGAGCTGTGAGTAGCACAATGCAAACAAGAAATATATTACATCCACCTTCAAGAAAATGAGATGGGAGAGAGTTAGAACAAAGAATATTGAAAGAGGGATCTGTTGTGGTAGATAGCACCTCATAGATACTATACAGAAAAAGTTGTTTTAGAAACACAGAGAAATTAGCATTAGAGTCCTGCAGACCAAATTCTGGTCTCAAATATATCGTGAAATGATGTTGCATGCTTTAACTTGTCTGTCAGCTTTTCTGAAGCACTCATCACCCTCATATCTGGGGCCCTGATTGTCAAAGTGCACAATTTTACCATGGTCTTCAATAGGAGCAGAAGCAGGGCCAACATGCTGTGAAAGGCAATTAAGACAGCATTTGTCCTAATGGGAGTAGTCCACACAATTAAAAATGTTAAGAGTTAAATGTTGATGTAATTATCTAAGAATTATAAAAAGTCCTTAACACTGTAGTTTAAAACTATAAAAAGAAAAGAAAAGAAAAGAAAAGAAAAGAAAAGAAAAGAAAATGACTGATGTCATTTTATGGTAGGTATAGATGGGGTTAATTTTAAAGATTTTTAATTATTGTCAGTACCATATTTTAGACACTGCATTTGGAAAAGTTTAAACGTACCCATTATTTCTTACTAATTAAAAGACTAGCTAATCAGAATTTCCCACTTGGCAGGCTTTTGAGGTACTGTCTTCTCTGCTCTGTTTCTCCTCTTTCTGCGTGTCTCCAACCTTTTCCTCCAAATTTTAAATCATTTAGTGTCACATTACACCTCATACCATGCCCTTCTCCAGCATCTGTCTAATGCTAAACTGTGTTTGAGAACATGGCAGATGTTCCTCCAGTGCTGTGGAGACTTTATCACAACCCCGTGTTCCCAATTGGCATTAAATGGCGCAGGCTCCAGCAACATGAGAGCAGCATTATCAGGAAATTCTCCGTAAAAGTCCCATCCTATAGGACTCAGTTCCTCTGACTGTCCAAATTAAATCTAATCTAAATCATTGTCTTTTATTTTGTTCTTACTTTTTTGATTTCGGAGTTAAAATTGAAGTTAGTTTGTTCTGTGATGGCTGCACTATAAGCAAGTGAAATAAATATATTTATAATAGGGTTACCATATGTCCTCTTTTTCCCGGACATGTCCGGCTTTTCGGCAGTCAAACCCCCGTCCGGGGGGAATTGCCAAAAAGCCGAACATGTCCGGAAAAATGGCGGCTCTGCTCCTCCCCGACTCTTCGGCTCTGTTTAAGAGCCGGGCTGCCCGAGAGCTACCGGCTTCGGGCAGCCCCGTGCCTCGAGACCCTGCGCCGCCGGAGCCCGGGAGGGGA